CCCAGGGTAGATAAAGCTTAATATAGGGGTTCTGTATACCCCTTGTTCAAAAAAATGCTATATTCTAGAAATCCTACTTTATTGATGTATGTCTCATAATATTGAAATGAGAATTTTGATTTTCATGTTAATTTTTATGGACAACAGGTAGGAAAGAACTCACATACCTGCTGGTGAATGGATGAACGAAGAGGGGCACATATGATCAAAATACATTTCTACATGTATGAAATTCTCAAGTAATAAATAAAAACTTATTTTTAAAAAGATGTTACCATTAGGAAAAACTGGTAAAGAAATCTCTGTCCCTCAGTATATTGGATATGAATCTACAGTTATCTTAAAATACATTATCAAAATTTTACATTTGAATGAAATTAAATGGTATATAACTACAACATATTGTTACTCAGTCTAAAAAGTGGTGATTCTGTCCCAATGTCATGCAGATTAAATGTGTATACTCTCTCACAACACATAGGGTGTGCGTTCTACCCAACTGATTAGTATAATGTCCTCTGGGTTCATTCATGCTGTCATGACTAGTAGAGAGGAGGGGCAAGAGTTATCTCATTCTGTTGTATCCAGGTAATGTCAACAGAGAGGGACAGAATAAAAAAGCATGTTTAAGTAACATGGTCAAACTTAAATTTGCTGGCAATACAGTAATTATAACATTTAACTCTTACATAGCTGTGAGTCCAATTAGGACCCAGAAGGAGAGTGATTCAATGGTCCTTCTAAATTTCAATAATAGTGATTCCAGAAATATCCTAAAACTTTAACAAAGTGACAAATAAGTGTTGTGACTATTCTTGGTTCACTGTAATATATATTAAATAAATAACATGTGGCACCCTGGTCTAGATTGGAGACAGGGCATAAAACCAGGTTCTGTTTAGATGCTTGAGCCTAAGTGAATCTAATGAAAACAATGAGAATATAGGTAATAAAGACTTCCTTAGAGGGAATTGAAGCCACAGGGGCTCACGTCAGAAAATAATCATCACCCTGGCCAACACCCAGGAAGTTCTCCTTGGATGGGTGTAGGTACCTCAGCATGCTCATACTCAGTTGGTAAGGGAGTGAGAAATAAATGTTTCTGCAATTCTCTCCACCTCTGACTCTGTTTCCTCCTGTTGTCCGTAGTCAGCTTTAAATTAAACACCAAAGGAGCTGTACTGGAGGGGTGTATAGCTCCAAGGGAGAAAAAAGAAAAAGTAAGTACAAATATGAGAATAAACTCATCTGGATGGAAGTGGCCAAGGGAGACTCCATGGCACACGTGCTTTACCTGTGAATGCACAGAGTACTTTAAAAAATATTTTATTAGTTTTATTTTATGTGTATGAGTATATTGCCTACATGTATGTAAGTGCACCTGTGTCACGCAATTCCCAAGGAGGTCAGAATAGAACATCGAATCCCCTGGAACTGAAGTAACAGATGGTTGTTAAGCTGCCATGTGGGTGCTGGGAACCAAACCCGGGTCTTCTGCAAGAACAGCCACTGCTCTTAACTGCTGAACCATCTCACTAGCCCCTGTACAGAGTGCATTTACTGATTATTATTTCTATTGAGAGTCACATTACAGGCCTCAAAATCAGTACATAGCTAATTCAAATTAAGTTAATCTAGCTTTCTGCATTTTCTGAACTCCAAAATGTTCAGTCAATATTGTGAACTATTAACCTCCAAATCCAAACATACAACAATGGCGATAACAGAAATGAAGACATTCCTCACAATGCATTGCTTCATTACCCTTTCAAAGTTTGAATCCCTTTGGTTATGTACAGGTGGCAAAACTCTGCTGACAATGGGTTTAGGGTTTTCAGAGCAGGAATCTAGGGGTTATTCATAATATAACTTACTGCAAGTGTTAATTGGTCCTGTGAAAGCTTGATGCTATAAAGTCCTCACCTTCTTCACAGCTGTCGTTGTCAAATCACTCTCCTTTCTCAGGTAGTATTAACAATGTTTCATTGAAAATTTGGATTTCAGCTTAATGGATAAAATAAATTGAGCTGAGTTCAACTTTAATGACCTAGTAAATGTCACTATTGAAGATCAGCTGCACTTCCCAGAGTAAGTACTCCTTCATAAATATATACAGGAGAGAGGTGTTTACATAACAGAAAGGGATTTAGCTCAATGAAACATTTTTATTATCACTGTCAGGTTCTAGCAGCAAAGTGCTCATTCACATCATTTGCGTTTGGTTTCCTTGGCCATGGATCAGACACACTCTCCGTTCTTAAGGAACTTACGATATAAAATTGAATTGTGTTCTAAACTAGGCCTGCATCTTTCACCATAATATCAGTTGATGGCAATGTTAATAGGTTACTATGTGACCTATTTCAATAAGTTTTTTTAAAATAGCCCCTTCATATGGGAATATTTGCTATTATTCAAAATTTCTCATGTATTAAAGTTGAGATACCATAAGAACCACTTATTTTCTCTTGTTAATACTTCTCTGTTTCATCTTCTGGCTAAAAACATGTGGGATACTGCTAGATATTTTGTTTTAGTGATTTCTTTTGTAAAAGGGAAATCATTACTATGTGACTTCTCACTGTTTGTATTGCCTCATTCCCTACAGTAAAACTAGAATGAATATGGTAATTATTTTGAATCTTGTGTAACCTTTCAATAAATAACATAGTAAAATATTTTGAAACAAGGAAACTTTTGTCAGGTTGGATTATTATGAGCTAGAGAGAAGAAAACCATAAAATAATTAGGATGTCAATGAGGATACCAACCTGTACATATATGGATATATGTCATCAAAGGAGAATGCTTACTTTTATTCTGCACAAATACTGGGTGTGGTGGTTTGAATGAAAATGTCCCCCACAGGCTCCAAGTATTTGGACATTTTGTCCCCAGATGATGGCACGGTTATGGGAGGTTTTAGAGGGTGTGGCAATCCTAGAGGAAGCAAGTCACTGGGGATGGGATTAGAGAGTTTTTAAGCCTTGCCAGATCTCCAGTTGCTCTCTTGCTTCCTGTGCCTCCATGATGATGTGAGAGCTTAGCTTCTGCTGCTCCTGCTCCAGCCACCTCCAGCCACCATGCCTCCCTGCCATGTTGGACTGTGATTCCCCTGGAACCGTAAGCTCTAATCTCTTCCTACTCTAAACTGCTTGGGTCTGTGTTTCTATCACAGCAACAGAAAAGCAACTAATAGACTGGGTGATGCACTTCATGATATCTGCAGTGCTGTCTCAGATAAATACTTATTATGATAATTATTTCAGCATGATATAAAGAACATGTAATTTATTCTTTAAGGAACCTGTATTTAATTCAAGTTTTAGCATTATTGGAAATGTCTGCAAGAGTTAGAATGGGATTCAAATGTAGCAAATCATTATAGCCTGAGAGTTTGTTTCTGTCTTTTCTGTTATTTCCCCTCCTACTATCAAAACATTTTCATACTTTATTTTCCCTTTAAGCACTGCTCACTCATGAGCATTTAATCTCTGTACACAATCATATGTGTAGAATTTAATGTCTCTGTGTATGTGACATATATATGTATGGATACATGAATATTTTATAGACATACATAGTTAAGATGACTTGTATTGATTGTATTTCCCCAAAGCAACTTCTTTTCTACCAGAGAAAAATTTTGCAAAACAAGTGAGATTATAAGCTTGTTTATACATGCCACTAAGACTTAAAATTCCTACACGAGGCTAGTGTATATTATTTCTGTTTTTTACAATGTATAGAGCAGTATCTCTGAAACTACAGAATGGTGTATACAAAAAATAAATTTCAGGCCTTATGTTACATCATATGCTTTTAATCCCAGCACTTGGGAGGCAGAGGCAGGCAGATCTCTGTGATTTAAGTGAACCTGGCTACACAGCAAGGTCCAGGCCAGGCAGGGCTACATACTGAGGACTGGTCTCATTTTTTTTTTTTCACTTTTATGGAAAAATAAGAAAGAAACACTTGATAGTTTGAGGGCCTCATGAAGTAGACTGAATTGGGGTAGTGAATTAATACTTAAAGATGAGGGGAAAGCTCAAAAGCTCTCCCGGATTCAGAAAGATAGGTAAAGTTTCACTCTCCCAAGTTCATTAACTTAGGAAATGAGAAGGATTTCAATGGCTGACATTTTATGAACCACATTCAAAGGTGTGTTGCTGAACAAAGGATTATCATTTCTAAAAAATAAAAATCTTTATAACCGTATATTCAAAAACAACATAAATGAGTAAATATACAAACACTTGCAAAAGATAACCATTTTAAAAATATAAAATGCGGGCCAGAGAGACGACTCAGTGTTTCATACCTTGTATTTCTCTTTCAGAGGACCCGAGTTCAATTCACAGCACCCACAGCAGGCAGCTCATAACCCCTGTAACTCCAGCTTGAGGAGCTCTACCAGCTCTGTGCTCCTTGGGCACCTGAACTCGAGCGCACATACTCACATGTAGGTACTCACACATACACATAATTAAAAATTAAAAAATAAATATCTAAAAAAATAAGCAAATAAAAATATGAAATGCTGCCAGGTGTGATGGCACATACCCTTAATCTAGCACTTGGGAGGCAGAGGCATATGGATTGCTGTGAGATCAAGCGAGACCAGTGGTGATCTACATAGTGAGCTCCAGGTTAACTTGGGCTACAGAGAAACCTCTCTCAAAAAAATAAGTAAATAATAAATATGAAATGCTTTGTAAAATTTGCTGAACCACTATAATCAGTATGACTGTCACACACACACACACACACACACACACACACACACACACACACACACACACACACAGAGTGCCTTATGAATTCAGATGTTTAAAACATTAACCACAAACTTCTTAGACCACTTCTTAATGCCACATGCATTTTACATGTTTGAAGGAAGGAGAAATAATATCACATGAAATGAGAAGCTGTATTATAACAATAATCATACGCATTGTAATTTCCTCATTTTAGACCTCGTTTGAAGCCAAGCCAACACAATGTCAAAAAAAAACTACACGGCAGTGATGGAGTTTATCCTGCTGGGCCTGACAGACCGCGTAGACCTGCAGCCTGTGCTCTTCGTGCTGTTTTTGATCATCTACCTCATCACAGTCACTGGCAACCTGAGCATGATTTTCTTAATCAGAAGTGACTTGAAACTCCACACCCCCATGTACTTCTTTCTCAGCCACCTCTCCTTTGTAGATCTGTGTTATACCACCACTGTTGCTCCTCAGATGCTGGTTAATTTTCTGTCCAAGAGAAAAGCCATTTCCTTTATAGGTTGCATGATTCAGTTCCACTTTTTCATTGCTCTGGTCATCACTGACTACTATATGCTTGCTGTGATGGCTTATGACCGCTACATGGCCATCTGCAAGCCTTTGTTATACACTATTAAAATGTCTAGCGGTGTCTGCCTGTCCCTCGTGACTGTACAGTACATTTATGGCTTTGTAAATGGTCTAATACAGACCATCCTGATGCTTCGATTAACCTTCTGTGGGCCCAACGAGATCAATCACTTCTACTGTGCAGACCCACCTCTCATGGTCCTTGCCTGCTCAGATACTTATGTGAAAAAAACTGCCATGTTTGTGGTGGCTGGATCCAACCTCACCTGCTCTCTCACCATCATCCTCATCTCCTACATTTTCATTTTCACAGCCATTCTGCGCATCCGTACTGCAGAGGGGAGGCGCAAGGCCTTCTCTACCTGTGGGTCTCATCTGATGGCTGTGACGATTTTTTATGGAACATTGTTTTGCATGCATCTCAGGTCCCCTTCTGAGACCTCTGTAGAGCAAAGCAAAATTGTAGCTGTTTTCTATATCTTTGTGAGTCCTATGTTAAATCCTTTCATCTATAGTCTGAGGAACAAAGATGTAAAAAATGCAATAAGGAAAATTATCCAGAAATGATTATTGAGCAAAATAGTCATGATCACTGGTTCATAAAAATGTTCTTATTATCTGGCAAATAAATGAATAAATTTCTCTCTGCCATTGATTATGTTTTGTCTTTCTTATTTTTTTAAATGACTTGTGTTATTATTTTTAATTACATGTTTATGTGTGTGTGTGTGTGTGTGTGTGTTGGGGTGTGTATATGTGTTTATGTATAGATGTGATATATGCCTGTCAGTGCAAGTACCCATGGGGGCCAGAGACATCAGGCACCGTTGGAGCTGGAGTGAGTAGGCAGTTCTGAGCAGCCCTATATCAATGCAAGGAATTGAACTCAGGTCCTCTACAAGAGCAGTATGTACCCTCCACCTCTGAGTCATTTTTCCAGCACATCCTCCTTTTGCTATTTATTTGTTTGTTTTGGTCTTTCTTAATTCGCAAGAAGAACTGGTTAGTGTGTATTAATTTGTTAGCTAGAGAATTCAGCATAGGAGTTCAGAGACTAGTACAGGAGCAATGTTATTTTTTTTTTCTTTTAACTCAATAAAGAAATGATTTTGTACATAGTAACTCACACTGGGACAAACATAAAATACAAAATTACCCAGTGCAATGGCAATGGCAGTTCCTTAGGCTCAGCGGTTTAGAGCACTGGCTGTTTTTTCAGAGGACACAGGTTCAAATCCTAGCACACACTACAGCTAACAACTACAGGTAACTCCAGTTCCAGGGGAATCTGATGGCCTCCTCTGATGTCTGCGGGCGCTGTCAACATAGGTACACTTACATGTATGCAAGTAATACATTCATATACACAAAATAAAAATATGTTTTTTTGATTTCCAAAGTATCTTATGGATTTCATTTCATTCATATAACATACAGGGGTTTTTTGTTGTTCGCTTGTTTTCTGTTTTTGTTTTATTTTTGGTTTGGTTTTTAATACAAATTGTAAGGTTAGAGGAGTTGTTATTGTGAGAGTTTAGGGATCCTGGAATCTCTAAGGAGTCAGGCTTAGAGACCCATTCTCAGTAGCCCAATTAAAAAAATATTAGTGAGAAGCAGAGAAATAAGGTTTATTCAATGTGACTACATCGGAAAGAGTAGCAAAGACTTCAGTGACATCTAAGTCCATCTTTGGGATCATGACACGCAAATCAGATTACATATTTTTTAAAGTTATTTCTTTTTATTTTATATATATTTTTCCTGCATGTGTACAAATGCACCATATGGATACAATGATCATATAGGCCTGAAGAGGCCATCAGAGCCCCTGAAACTAGAGTTACAGTTGGTTGTAAGCTGCAGCCATGTGATGGTGCTGGGAATTGAACCCAGGTCTTCTGTGAGAGCAATCAATGCTCTTAAGTGCTAAGCCATCTCTCCAGCCCCTATGTCAGATTTAATGGAGGTAAGAAGTGTGCATAGCGAAGCAGAATTGGTCAACATGTGGTGCAGTCCCATCCAGCTTCATTGCCTCAGCTTCTGTCTCCCAAGCAAAGAGGGCTGACAAGTGGTCAGCATCCGGTGACACCTCTTTCTGGACACAAGCTGCCCTTCTGCCAGGCATCAGGCTCTCAAGCTTTTCCTTCTCCCAGCATGAGATTCTTGGGGGCAAATTCCAGTGGGGAGGAATCCTGTGTTCCTATAGTTTGATAGCTAAAGATGGGGGCAGAATTTTCCCTTTTGAATACATTCCTCCTTGCCAGGATCATTCACATTACCATTTCCTGTTCTTTTTAATGGATTGTACTTGATGTTTTAATCATAGCAATGTGTGGATATTGTTATGTATGTGTGCAACACTGACTATTACACTTCCACATACTCATTTCTTGTTCCAGTTTATCTTGTGAAAAATCCATACTGTTGTTTTGCCAATTTTTCAAATTATGATATTTCTATGTATTTCTATTTAATTTAGACTTCTATCTTAAAGATGCACATCTTTAATGTTTGTTATATATGCATATTCTCCATTTTTCTCTTTATATATATTGAAATGCCATTTATTTTTACATATTACCAAATGATTTATATTTTATATCATTGCTTCGTAGTTTGATTTTCAGCAGTTAGATTGTTTTCTACATGCAATTAAGTTGATATTTACTTATATTACTAAACTAACTTTAAGGTTTCACTTGTTTGTTTGTTCGGATGAACACTTTCCAATCTATAGCTCAAAAAGAAATAATATAACAAACCCTTTGTAAGCGTAAGTAATCATTGACATCTTCATACAACAGTACACTTGCTTCACATATTTCGTTATTAAGAAGTTGAGGTTTCTATGGCTTAGTTTATTTCCCCATTTGCTGCAGTAAATTCTGCTGTATTCTCTGCAAATCACTTTATTTTTAACTAACATTTGTTAAGTTTATCCATATTGATTCATGTAGCATCAGTGCCAAGAGTCTATGCCAATGTAAGACAAAATATATGTATCCATTCTACACTTAAAGTTCAATTACAGCTTTCTTCTTTCTTGATGATGTAAAAATCCAGTGACAACCTGAGTTATGCAACTCTAAATATAAACCAGTGGTAGAGTTCTTCTCATGAAGATAGTAACTTTGCATCATAAGATTTACATATATTTAAATTTACTACTCATTACCAAATGTTTTACCATTTACATTTTCCCCAAGAATCTATGAGTGTTCATAAACCATACTTCAACCACTACCAGGCATTTTCTGATGTCTTAAATGTTCTCTAATTGGGAGGATTGACTCTGCATTTTCATTTCTTTGGAACATCATTACACATGAAGTTAGATGTTTTTAAATTCTTTGACGCTAATTCAAGAATGCTAACTTCTCTTGTTTTAGTTGGATATCCATATTCTTTGTTCACTTTTCAGATTGTTAGGGTCCGTGACTCGGTGGGTCTCTTCAGGAGAACAAATGCATGAGTATGGAGATGCAAAATCAAGCAGAGTTTTATTAGGCCAGCTAGCTGGGGCCGACCATCCTTCCAAGACACGCAGGTCTGGTTGGAGCGATCGACCCTGAGGCAACTTCAGGTAAAGATTATATAGGCTCCCACAGCTGTTACACAAAAGCCTGCGCTTATACAACCAACAGTTTCAAAGCAAGCATTTCACAAACCAATAACTTCAAAACAAGAAAAAAGTTACAACTCCCTTCAGGTGTCTCAATCGGGGAGGGATGGGTGGTATGTGCCTGGTGTGACCCTTTCCTGTTATCTTGTGTAAGCAGACATGCCTACGTGACACAACACAGATCAGACAGGTCAGGCTCCGGGGGCTGCAGCACTTTCCCCTATCTCCGGATGCCTGTGCCTCCAGTTGAGTTAATTGGTTACAAGCAGTAAATTCAACCAAGCAGTAAATTCCTCTTTCCCTAACAAGATCTATCTTTATTTCATTCATATGTAATAATTTCTCAGTTTACTGTACTTGGTACCAATGATTGATGTTCTGTCTACAAGCTGTTCATAATTTATGTTTCACTTTTGTGCATGATATATGTGAAATATATTCATTTTAAAACTAATGAAAATGTATTGATCTGTTCAGGTGTGTTTTTATATGATGATTAAATAATGATGACCTCTTGTGAATATGTAAATGTACATATTTGAGACTAAAGGCTTCTTACAATAATGATTCTTATAGAAAAGAACAGAACTTAATATTTAACAAAAATGACCAATTTTCCAGTTTCTAGATCCTTACTTGTAATTGAATTTGAAACATTAATGCATCAAGTTTCCATGTTTGTGTCAGTCTGCTTACAGGATATTTATTCTAGTATCAATGTGTCAGTCTTTTCATTGCTGAATGTTATTTTAATAAAATATAATTTTAGTGCTTCCTATCTAGACACTTTTTCTTGAAGTATTTATGTGAGAAAATGTCATTATACTATATAGAGGCATCTGGATTGTGTTCTGGGTTTATACCATGGGCTTTTCAGAAGGCTTATAAAACACATCATTTTTCACAAAAATTCAATTTGAAAAACCTATCTATGCAGTAAGTGTGGCTAAGAGAAAGAGAAAAAAGTAAACCAGCCTAAGTTTAGAACTGTGTCTACACATATATCTTGATAGGCACCAGTACAGAATTTCATGCCTATGGATTAGCTAGTCCCCATCTGTTTTGAATGCTGTGGTCACCTTTTCGTTCCTACCCGAGCAGGTCAGTTCCCAAACCAGAAGCCATGCACGTTTTAGAGAGGTGTTAGAGGCAAACTGCCCAAAGGCAAAGACAGTTATGGGCATCATAAGTTGGAATTGGGTTATAGGTCTCAGTGGAAATAACATTTCAGAAAGGTCTATCTAGGGACATTGTCATATAACATTTGTGGAAGTGCTTAAAGGCATACGCATAGTAAATACAAAGGCACAATGCAAGACATATTATTTTTAAAGAAAAACCAAGGATATAAATATGTGTGTTTCAGAGTAACAAATCAAAGGAAAGAATTTCAATGGAGAAAGTGTTTTGGATTGAGTGGAAGATCATGTAGGCCTTTATTATTTCATATCACACTGCAATTCATGGATTCTTCCAACTCCAGACTGCAAACATGATGAAGGAAGAGAAAACATTTATTTCTTTGACTCTTCTACAAGAACCAAGCACAGTGTGTTCCATAAATTAAACTGATCAAGCATTTTTCAGAAAGAAACATGCATTAATAAATGAGAGCTGTGTTCCAATAGAAAGGAATAGAAATCATACTTTAACTAGGATTCTGAACTTTTCAGGCTGAATGAGGTATGTTTGTAGCAATTAATTCAACAATGTTTTCAATGGAGACCCAGAAGTATGAAGTGATTGTTCTCTTCCTATGTAACTCTATCTCCCACAAGTGGTTCATCAGAGAGAAGTTTTGAGTTACTTCAATGAGTAATGAAATGCCTCTGATTACTGATGAGTAAAGGTCAGATTTAGACTTCTGTTTTGCCAAGACTAAATCTCAAGAGAGTAATCTCAGCCTTAGGAAAGCTGAAATTAGTTTTTCTACTTTTCATGGAGT